GAAGCAATGGAGTGTGCCTGTAATCCCAGATACTCAATACACAGAGATTGGGAGGATTGAGATTCAAGACTAGCCTGAGTGAAAAGTTAGCAAGACCCCATCTCAGTCGATAAGCTAGGCATGATGGCATATGCCTGTCATCTAGCCACATGGGAGGCCACAGGTAGGAGGATCACAGTCTGACGCTGGTCCTGGGCAAAAATATGAGACCCTATCAGAAAAATAAATAAAGAAAAAATGGATGGGAGCTTAGAGCACTGAGTTCAAATCTCAGTACCACCAAAAAGAGAAAGACAGAGAGAGAGAGAGAGAGAGAGAGAAGTGGGATGGCCTGCGTAGTCCTCTAATAAGTACAATTACTAGGAAGAATGTCATTGCCATTGTCAGTTTCATCAATAGCATTGTGGTTCTCCCCCCCCAGCCACCTGTTGTTCTTTCACCTAAAACCCCAGAAACATGGGCAACCTGCTTCTGAAGGGCTGCCCAAAACTCTAATCTAAGGCCAAATGAGAACTTGAACCCAGCACCAAACCCGGTCTTGGTTCTTTTGGAGATAGCAATTATGTCAGTTGTAGTCCCTGGTCTTTCAGAGCCCAGAAATGTCACTCCTAGGTGACATTCCTGGGAACCAAGCCCCTCAACATAGCACAACAGTCACCCTAAGACGAATGTGACACACACAGACGCCTCTGCTCCAGAGAGTGATTTATTTGTAACCTGGGGACAAAGTTCTGGAGGCCTCATTCCTTGGGTGCACTTTGCAGGTATCAAAGCTTAATGAGTGAGCTTTAATAAATCCAAAAGACATGGCTAATAAATTCATTTCATGGTGTGCCTTAAAAAACAACAAAACAGGCTGGTGGGGTGGCTTCAAGTGGTAGAGCGCTTGTCTAGTTAGCATGAGGCCCTATATTGCAACAAAACAAAACTCTTATAAGTTTAAAAATTTCTGATTAAAAAAGAAAGAAAGAAAAAAAAAACTAGTCCTGTTAAAAAAACTTTCTAGAAGTCAACAGTGGCACATACCTGTAATCCTAGCACTGGGGAGGCTGAAGCAGGAAGGTCAAAAGTTCGAGCCTAGCCTGAGCAACATAGCGAGACCCTGTCTTTAAAAAAAACCTCTCTACCCATTTCAGTACCCCCAGCCCTCTTTTCTGTATCAAACACCAGTGCTCACCCAGGCCTTTGAAGTCAGGCAAGATGTCCATGTTGGTGGGATTTAGCATGTAATCAAAAACAGTGCTTACTTAAACCTCCAGCCATTGCAGACGTGAGTCACCAAAAAGACTCAAACCCTCTGAAATTACAGTCAGATTTAGTGTTCTTATTTAGAAAAAGAAAACAAACTTTTCCTTGACTCCAATTTCAAGCAGTTGTGCTGAGTGTCCAGAGAGTGGGAACAGGACCCTAGAAACATTCACAAAGTCACCAGTTTTCTCTTCCCTACTTCCTGGTGTCAGATTAGCGCATGGCAGCCTGTTTCTGCTCTGGGTCTTTGGTTAATCTTTTGTTTTGATGGTATTGGGGTTTGAACGCAGGGACTCACACTTGCTAGGCAGGTGCTCTACCTCTTGAGCCACTCTGCCAGCCTGGTCTTTGGTTAATCTTGAATGTTCCCATTTCATGTACAGTCGCTCCCCCCATCCTTGAGGAATACAGTCCAAGACCCCTGTGCATAGATAGCACCAAACCCTGTATATACAATGTTTTTCCTACACGTACACATCCATGATAAAGTCTAGTTTATTTTTAGGCACAGCAAGCGATTAACAATAATGAATGATAAAATAGAACAATTATGACAATATACTTTCATGAAATTGCTAGCCTCAATACTTTTGTGCTCTGGGGCCTTTGTGAAGTACAATGAGGGTGGTTTGAACACAAGCACTGTGATAACAAAGCAATGGATCTGATAACCAAAACAGCTGCTGGGTGACTAACAGGCGGGCAGCGTATAAAGTGTGGACACAGTGGACAAAGGAATGATTCAGGTCTTGTGTGGGACAGCCACTTGGAAAAGGATTTCATCACACTACTCAGAACAGTGCACAACTTAAAACTTACGAGTTTTTTCACTTCTAGAATTCTCCAGGTAATAATTTTGGACTCTGGCTGACTGTAGGTAGCTAAAACTTTGGAAAGCAGAACTGTGAATAAGGGGGAAAATTTTTATCAGCACTAAAGCCAGAGGGCATCTTAAAGTCCTAAAAGGTTTTCCTTCCTGTGGTCCAGAAATTTGGGCTCGCTGCTAGTTTTCTGTTTTTGGTAGGAAGTCATGGGAATGTATAAGAATTGGAAAGGTGGGTTTATATTTGGAAATTGTTTTCTTTTGTGTTTTAAATTTGGAGCTTAGGATACAATGAAGCAGCCAGATGCCATTCTCCTAACATATTTCTGGAAGGCGTGTGGTGGGAGCTTTCAAATTATTTTGATTGAAACTCAAAGTTAGAAAAATATTTTATATATCAGCTCAGCATAACACATACAAGTAACTGGAAGACAATTTTTTAATATTACAAACAATGTTCATCCTTTCTCCCATCCAAGTACTAACCAGGCCCGACCTTGCTTAGCTTCCGAGATCAGACGAGATCGGGCGTGTTCAGGGTGGTGTGGCCATAGACTGTTCATCCTTTCTTTGTGGGGTATCCTTTGATGTTTTCTAAACTATTCTTTGTTTTGTTTTGTTTTGTTTTAATTGCTGGTCACAAAACACTAACTTGATTTCAAGAGACATCCATGAGCCTCAGATCACAGTTTGGAGAACACAGACTTGTGGTATGTCAGGGACGAGAACCAGTCTGCTCTCAATCCAGAAGAGCAAAGAGGAAGGAATGCCTGAAAGACAAAGACAGGTGCTGGGGGCTAGTTTTCTTTCCCTCTGGGTAGTCTCCCGCCACCACCACCATCCCAGGACAACCAGAGCAGCTCCTGTCACTCAGCTATTGCTGGCTGTGACTCTATTGTCCCTGTCTGCTCTGTGGCTGCCACTTCAAAGAAAACAACCAGAGGGGATGGTGATAGACTACAGCAAGTGTTTTTCTTGACTTTGTTCACAAAATGCAGAAAATAACCACATATGCAAATAAACATGTTTTGCTTTGCTTTTGTTTCACAAAGTTTGTAAGTGACAGGCTGAAAGAATATTTTTTTAACACACAAGTGACATAAGTTAGGATCCAGAATATGTGCCTCACTTCTCAAACAGCTCCTGACACTCCAACATGTGATATGCCTGGGGTATGAAGAGGTAGATTGTTCACAGAAGGGCTGTTTTGAGTGCTAAATTCATTAATATGACCAAACTTCTTTCTTAGAACAGGAGTGGACATGCTCAATGAGTATTAGTTATTTTTATTTTTAAAATATCTTAATTGAGGTATAACTTAGATAGCATCAGATTCATCCATTTTAACTGTATAATTTGATGACCTTTATAAATTTACTCAAGCCGTGTACCCCTGACCACTGGCCATCTAAAGAACATTCTCGTCTTCTCATACAGTTTCCAGTGACCATTTCCTGTCCCTCCTTGGTCTCACCCCCACTCTCAGGAAACCATAAATGCACTTTCTTTCTTAAGCATTTGCCTTTTCTGGATATTTTCCATGCAGTCACATGCCACATAATGACGTATCAGTCAACGACAGGCCACATGTATGACAGTGGTCCCATAGAGTAGAACAGAGCTGAAAACTACCTGTGACCTAGTGTTTCTCTGTACCTTGTTTGCGTTTAGGTATGTTTAGGTACAGAAGTACTTAATATTGTGCTACGATTGCTGTGGCAGTCAGTATGGTAACATGCTATGCAGGTTGTAGCTGGGAGTGGTAGGCTGTGCCCTACAGCATGGGTATGAAGTCGGCTCTAACTGTGTAAGTACACCCAATGTGACATTCACACAATGACACCATTCCCTAGTGACACATTTCTCAGAACATATCCCCATTGTTAAGGCACACATGACTGTATAATATTCCCCTTTTCTGTGGGGGAGACATTTTTACTATGGTGAAGTTTAATTTATAAATTAGGCACAGTAAGAGATTAGCAACCATAGTAATAAATAGAACAGAAATTACAGCCACTGTAATAAAAGTTATATGAATGTCGTCTATATCTCTGGAATTTTCCATGTAATATGTTCAGACCATGGTTGACTACAAGTAACTGAAAATTTGGAAACTGAAACCTGAGATAAGGTGGGGAATTATGGGATAAGTAGTGTTTTGTGCTTGAAGTGCAATTATTACTTTGAAAACTAAAATCATTATTAAAAAGTCCTATTAATTGGATGTTAAGAGGATGCAATAGTTCTGTATGGCACAGTGGAGAACGGTTTGATTAACAGGAAGACTTTTCCCTGTGTTCTTTGTGAACAGGGGACACTGGGTTAGATCCTAGCCTCGAATGCACTGTCAGCCGTGGGGGGGCAATTATTCCTGGATTACTAGATATGGGAGACTTTTCATACTTCCCTAAAGAGGAATTTGTACAGACACAGCCCTTTCTTCTTGCCCATTTCCTAGCAAAGAACATAATCTGCTTTCATATCACCTCTCTTTTCAAACCGGAAAAGGGAAAGCTGATTGTGGAGCTGGGTGCAAGGTTCACTGGGTGCTTCTCTCAGGTAATTCCTGGTCTTTGTCCGTGTAAGGAAGGTCACAGTTAAGGAGTCTATGACCTTAAGTGGGGAAGAACCTGCATCAGCAGTTTCTTCCCAGGGTCTCATCAGCCCGGCCTCTTTCCCCTGGCTCGCTCCTCCATCGGCACCTTAGCATGAGTCCTGGGATCTTTGTCCTGTGCACAGATCCCCGTCTGCTTCCTGCACAGGGCTTGTTTTTCAAGGCCTGGGATGGCTTGAGCAAGCAGGGCCATCCTGATGTCCCTTCACACAGCGCAGCTCCAGGGGGATGTGGGGGGCAGGGTTTGGATGGTGTTCACAGATTCCTCCTGAGGGAAGCTGATGGTGCCGGTGATTTTTGTTTCTACTTCAGATGAATTGAAAAACAAAACTGTGTGTGAAGACCAGCAGCTGAAGCTGCACTGCCATCAATCCAAGTTCCTCAACATCTACTCTGCAACCTATGGCAGGAGGACCCAGGAAAGAGACATCTGCACCTCAGAAGCAGAGCGGCTCCCCCCCTTTGGTATGTGACTTTATTTGGCTATACTTAGGGTGCTGTCTGAGCAAATTAGAGTTTTGAGTCCCCAAAGAAGGGAGCCACTCCAGTAGCCAGACCTGGATTAGAGGGAGGATCCATGTCATCATGGTGGATTACTTCTCCTCTACATTCCTGAATCTGCCAGTAGCTATTTGAGTGCCTGCTGTATGCAGGGCCCTGTTCTAGTCATTGGGCCATTCACAACCAACATGCATCTGACCTCCAGCAGTGGACAGGAAGGCACGAGAGAGCAGATAAGAGAGGCACTAGTAGCTTTCACTATTAGTATTAAGTACTATAAATAATCTGGAGATGATTTAAAGAATATCAGAGGATGTGTGTAGGTTCTATGAAAATATTACACCATCTTCTGTAAGGGACTTGAGGACACACAGCTTGTGGTATTAGCAGAGGGGCCTGGAATCCATCCCACAATGACACTAAGGGATGACTGTATGTCAAGGCCGTATGTCAGGTGGGGATAAGTCTACAGAGAAAAGTGCACAGGAAGGGAGCAGGGGAACGAGGGAGTGGGCTCCCACGAGGATTTGCTTATAGAGTGAGAGGTTTGCTGAGCGTACACCTGGAGGAGGCGAGGAACTGGGCCTGCAGACACCTGGGAATGAGTGTCCACATAGAGCAAAGAGCAGATGGAGGGCTTGAACCTGGACTGGATCTTGAGTGGTCATCAAAAAAAGCTCAGCTAGTCATTCTTAGAAGTCTGCAGTTTGGAGCAAAGAGACCACACCATGAAATAAGCCTGATAGCTCCACCCATCAAAAACATCCAGTAGGATGGCTCCAAAGAAACAGAACTATAGGCTGTGTAGAAACACAGCCTGTGGCCCATGCCTCCTAAGGCCTTGTGATGGTTCCAGTGTGGGTTGAGTGTCCTCTGAGGATGAAATTTAATCCCCCCTGAGAGGAATTAAGAAGGTGGAAACTTAATCAAACTGTGGTGTTTGGAGGTGAAGCCTTGGGAGGTGATTAGAATTAGATGATGTCGTAGGGGTGGAGACCCAATGATGACGGCTTTAACAGAAGAAGGGAGACCAGAAGAGACAAACACATGCTCTCTGTCTCTTGCCATGTGATGCCTTGGGACTCTGCCAGCAAGAAGGCCATCACTAGATGCGGGTTCTTGACCTTGGACCAGAACCATGAGCCAAAATAAACCTCTTTTCTTTATGATGTTACCCAGCACAGGCATTTCATTATAGCTTTTTAAAAAACCTAATACAGAAAATTGGTACTGGGAACATGAGGTTGTTGCTGTGACTACATCTGCATATGTGGAAGTGGCTTTGGATTGGGTGACTGACAGAGGTTGGAAGCGTTTGGAGGGCTGGGCTGGAAAAGGCCTGTATTGCTATAAGTGGAGCATTATTGGTGATGCCAGAAGAATCACCAGGGAATTAGTCTTGGATGGAAATGAGGGCCCCACTGGAAATAGAGGAGAAAGTTGTGCTTATTTTGAGAGCAAATCACCTGGATGCATTGTGTCCATGCCCCCAAAACTTTATGGGAGGCCAAACTTAAAAGTGATATACCAGTTCATTTGGTAGCGAAGATTTCAAACCAACAAAGTGTCCAGCCTGGGCATTATTGGATGCTTTTAGACAGATTTACAGTAAGACTCAAGAGCAAGGAAGCCGAGTGGAAAATTCACAGCCTGGCCAAGGAAGGAGCTAAGAAAAGACTCATAAGGGTGTGGCTGAGAAATACCCTGGCTAAAGAGATTAGTGTGTCGAAAAGCCAGCCAATTGCTTTACATCAGGACAGTTGGAAAAAGGCCTCCAGTCAAGCAAGCCTGTCCGGGTGCAGCTTGTGCCTGTGCTAGACCTTGGCATCTGTGCTGTGCTGAATTTGCAGGTGTGTACAAGGCAAGTTCTGGCAGCATGGTGGCTTCCACTGAGATTTCAAAGGAAGTCTGGGAGGCCAGGCAGAATTAGCCACTGGGCGGGAGCCCTGCAGAAAGCCCCCAATGAGGCCATGGCTAGTGGAGCCATAGGAGTGGACATGCAGTTCCCACTGAGGAGAGCTGCAGGAGACAGACGCCATGTGACCTGTGGCCAGTAAAGCCTTACCAAGGCCTGGGGAGCCCAGTCTTCACTGCAGTGTGGACAAGATGCCAGACTTGGAGCATTAGGGTTTAATCGTCCCTACTGGGTTTCAGTCTTGCTTTGGGCTAATTATTCCTTTCTATTTCCCTATTCCTTTCGGATCAGGAATGTTTGCCCTGTGCCTGCCCTGCCGTGGTATCTTGGAAATAGATAACCTGATTTGCTTTTACAGGCTGACAACTGCAAGGAGTTTGCGAGAGTCAGCTGAGACTTTGGACCTTTGAATTAATGCTGGGCCGAGCTCAGACTGTCAGACTATTGGAGATGGAATGACTGTGTTTTACATTATGAGAAGGTGAAAGTGTCCTTTTTGTGTGATGAAAAGTGTCCTTGGGGATAGGGACAGAATACTGTTGTTTGAATATGATTTGAGTGTGTCCCCAAGGTTCACATGCTGAACTCTAATCCCCACTAGGAGGTACTAAGAGAGTGGAATCTTAATTTGACTGTGGCTTTTAGAGGTGGGGCCTTTGGGAGGTGATTTGGATTAGATAAAGTCATCCCCTGGGTGTCCCCGTGATTGAACACTGGTGGCTTTTAAAGAAGACATTGAAAGACCAGAAGAGAAACACACATGCATGCTCCCTGTCTCTTGCCACATGGTGCCCTGTGCTGTCCCAGGACTCTGCCAGAAACTAGGCCATCACCAGACCTTGTACAGAATTATCATAAGCATGTTTTCTTTATATGGTTATCCAGCCTCAGGCATTTCATTATAGCAACTAAAATAGACAAATGCAGTCCCATAGCTAGTGTTCTGCTCTGTTGAGAAGGTTTGGTAGATGTTGAGAGCTACAAAGGGCAACCCTGGCAAACCCCAAAGGCAGGCTGGCATGGCGTCCAGTGGCTCTTTAGTAGGAGATAGGGGATAGGGCTCCTGTCACAGAGGGTCAGATGCTTCAGAGATTAGGGAGAGAGGGAGGCCCTTTTGACTTGGGGCTCCATTGTCTGTTAATGGTTCTACGCTCTGTTCCATTGATCTGAGTTCTTGGAACTCCATCCCCCTCTCAAATAACTCCTGAGTGTGTTGGATAGAAGCTGTAGGCTTCTCTCTTCAATGTCTCCACCCTCCTGCCTTCTCCCTGCTACTGCCTTAGGTAGAGGGAGTGGAGGCTGAGCCACTGGAGGATCGTCCCAATGCCCAGGGAAGCCAGAGTCATCCTTCTCTCCTGGTAGAAGGGAGACCTAACTCCCTTTTACAAAAATTACTTCATTTTTAATAACTCAGCCTTTTTATTATTCAAGAGATTTTTCTAGAAGGCATTCATGGGGATTATGCAGGAGATCACCAGCTCTGTTTCTTCTTTATGCATTCTGCCATAACCCCTACACTGCTGCTTTTCTTTCCTTTTCTTCTCTTTTGTCGGTACTGGGGTTTGAATTTAGGGCCTCACACTTGCTAAGCAGGTGCCCTGCTACTTGAGCCATTTCATCAGTCCCCCCACCCTCCTCCCTTTTTTTTGGTTGGGACTGGGGTTTGAACTCAGGACTTCACACTTTGCAAAGCAGGTGCTCTAATGCTTTAGCCACACTTCCAGCCCATTTTTCTCTGGTTACTTTGAAGATGGGGTCTCATGAACTATTTGCCTAGACTAGCCTTGAACCATGATCCTCCCGATCTCTACCTCCCAAGTAGCTAGGATTATAGGCATAAGCCACTGGTGCCAGGCTCCACCAGCCCTTTTTAGTGTTGGATATTTTTGAGGTAGGGTCTTGTTTTCTGCACAGGCTGGCCTTGAACCGCTTTTTCTCCTGATCTCTGTCTCCTGAGTACCATTTCTTAATATAGGAGAAGAGTAGCCCATTTCTCAGACTCACTAAATCTTAACAGGGTTGCGTGTGTTCTGGGCAACAGCAAGAAGCAATTATTCTAACTGTTCTTTTGAGCAAACTTCATTTGGCCATGTTGGTAGATCTGCTGGCTAGGCTGCTGCCTTTCATTCCAAGAGTGCTGGATTTAAGTTGAATAGAAACATAATCAGCTAACTAAAATGTTGACAGACACCAAGCACACAGACAGGTTTCCTCAGAGAGCTGGAGGGACCCTCAGGTCACAGATAACCTTGTACATACAGGAAGGTCTGTGAAGGGAAGGCTGTACCCCTTGCTGAGCTGTTGGGGTTACACAGCTCGAGCTCTGATACAATGAGCTGCTGAGCCTCTCCCTCCTGCCCCTCACCTCCCAGCATGCATGCAAGGATGACAACCAAAGTCTTCTGTGAGCATCTGTGAGCCACAGCCCAAGTACCAGAGCCTCTGCCACCCTGTGCTCTGCAGTGCAAAGGAGAAGTCAAGGGTAGCCCTTGAGGGAGCTCAGCTCATCCTTACCATCCGCAGGGAAACTTCAGGTCTGTTCTTAGTACTCAGGTCAGTGCTAACAAGCAGAACTGCACGTGCTTCTGTACAGACCTGTGCACTGGCACGCTCTCTTCATCTATCTAACTAAGTGCTAAGTATTGTTTGCTCTTGGCAACACTGCATGAAGGTTTAAAGCTATCCCCTTCCTCCACTACCTCTGGAGAATTCCAAGCTTATTCACAGCCCCTGTGCCTTTGCACAAGCTGTTCATTAGGCCTGGACTGTTCTGACCTCATACCTTTGTGTATGTGGTCTCTGACTCCTGATTAGGGAATTCACTTGATGTCACCTCAGGGTGGTTTCCCAGGCACAGTGCCTCTTTTCTGCTGTTCCTCTCGAGCTGTACTCTGATTGAGTTTTTTCCTAGCATGGAAAGAATCCACGCTGTGTGTATGTATCCAGCCCTGCAGAAGCTGAGCAGGGCTGTGTCTGTGCAATGCTCAGTAACTAGAACAGCATCTGGCACAGCATGGAACTGTGTGAACCAGAGCCCCTTCTAAGCACG